GAAAGAGACAGACTTTCTGTGATAGTGTTCGTGTATGCACTCACCTACATGTAGTCACCTACATGCAGTCCCATACATGTAGTCACCTACATGTAGTCACCTACATGTAGTCACCTACATGCAGTCCCATACATGTAGTCACCTACATGGAGTCACCTAGTTAGATGTGGTCACGTATAGATACAATCACCTACATGTAGTCACCTAGTTGTGTTGTATGGTCAAGCTTTGGTTCCTTGCTTTGGTTTCCTACGTAGTTCTGTCTACTGGAGTAAGATCGAGTTCTTGAGCCCAACCTCTTAGCTATTATACCTGAAATTGCGTGATGGCTACCATTTCTAGTAGCCTTCATGTGGAACAGGAAGCCGGTTGGCTTGTAAAGTTTTTCCCCATTCCTCTGGATTTTTTCCAGTTGACTGAATTTTGAATTGTAATTCAGTTCTGGCATTTACGGCTTCAGCGGATAGAAAACTCCATGAGGTGATTCCTCTGTTGCCTATCCTCCATGATAGGCAACATGGTGATTCCTCTGGGTGAGAAGCATGTCCTGTTTTCTGTCATATAGTGTGGCTTGTTGAACCTGAAGCTGTTGTCCCTTGAATGAGTTACATTGGATATTTTTCAAGTAGTCTCCAATTTGTTTAATATTTTAAAGGTCTCGATGAGATCCGCTCTGGTAAATTTGATTTGTAATTTTGTTGGTCCTGAAACACCTCCGTATTTCATGGTATGGGAATTCTCTTAGTTCTGGGAGGATTTTTATCGCTCTGCCTTCAACTTTTTTCCGAAGTATATATGTTATTTTGTTGTTGGTGTCTCCAGCATGGCTAAAGTTGTCCAAATGGGTTAGCACCAGTGATTTGAACTCTTCAATAACCACCTTCTTGTCCTGGAAATCAAAGGATAAGGAATAGCTGGTTTGGCCAATAGCGGGTTAAGTAGTCATGCTTAAACAGCCTTACCCTTGGCTAAGAGGACTTTTTTTTTTTGAGATATATACAAGATATATACAAGAGTTGTTACATTCTTGTACAGCCACTAGTACGCCACTAGTACGCGTAGCGTTTCGGGCAAGTCCTTAATCCTATGGTCCCTGGAATACGATCCCCTGCCGCGAAGAATCGTTTTTTCATCCAAGTACACAATTTACTGTTGCGTTAAACAGAGGCTACAGTTAAGGAATTGCGCCCAGTAAATCCTCCCCGGCCAGGATACGAACCCATGACATAGCGCTCGCGGAACGCCAGGCGAGTGTCTTACCACTACACCACGGAGACTGTACTTCAACAGGTCACAAACAGCTTCCTATTAATACAAAGATATAAATTATCAAAACCCTTTTTAGGTTTTGTTTTCGACGCGCAATCCAGAATTCCGGGTTCGAATCCCTGGTGGGACAAAAATGGTTGGGCACATTTCCTTTTGCCTTGCAGTGAGTAGGTATTCAGGAGTTAGTCAGTTTGTTGTGGAGTTGCATCCTGGGCGGGGTCAGGAATTCGGCCTTGGGGGGGGAGGGACCTCGGTATAAGTCTACCGTGTATGAATACACTCTGGCTTCCTGTCCCCCGACACAATGAATAATTATTATTATAATAACTGTATCAGACATTTCATCCTGCTATTATATAAGTCTACCTGGGAAATTAAATCGTTTTCTACAATATCATTTCATGTGTAAGAAAACACATCCGCTTTAGCTGTCATGGTTAACTAAAATAAATTTTAAAATTTTAGCAAAGTAAGGGATATATTTATATCTACAAATACTTCCTGCACCCAAAACATTTACATTAAAGGTATTTAGAAAAAAATATTACATTGATGATATTTCTATAAACTATTTCTGCATTCATTCAAACTGGAATTTGAAATATAATTAATAGTTGTTGCGCAGGTCAGTAACAGCCAACAAAATTTAAAATTCAAATTCTTTATTCAGGAAAAGTACACACATAGTTGATTTACAAACATAAGGTTGGATAAATGAAAAATAAAGAACACGCATTCATATGTTGTGTTGCTTACCAATGGTATAGTGTGTCCCACACACTGCAGCCTACGTTAATAATACTGAAGTTAAATATGTATTTAACGCGTAAATAAGCTTGTTCATTCTTCTTTTTATGGCTTATTTACGCGTTATAAGCAAAAAATCGTGAACGAACGTCGTACTTGGCCTACTATGCAAGGCCCGATTTGCCTAATAAGCCAAGTTGTTCTGAATATATATAATTTAAAAAAAAAATTCTTATGAAATGATAAATCTGTCCATTTCATTATGTACAAGTTAATTTGTTTAAATTTGAGTTAAAACTAACGTAGATATATGACCGAATCTAACCAACCCTACCTAACCTAACATAACCTATCTAAACCTTACCTAAACTATCACAACTAAGTCAATAAATTATGGTCTTAATATAATATAATAATAATAATAATTCAAATAAACTAAATAGAAATAGTTTATTGAAAATAAAGAAAATCACTCGGCCTATTAGGCAAAACGGGCCTTGCATAGTAGGCCGAGAAGTGCGTTCTGGCTACTAGGTACGACATATATATATATATATATATATATATATGTCGTACCTAATAGCCAGAACGCACTTCTCAGCCTGCTATTCAAGGCCCGATTTGCCTAATAAGCCAAGTTTTCATGAATTAATGTTTTTTCGTCTACCTAACCTACCTAACCTAACCTAACCTAGCTATTTTGGCTACCTAACCTAACCTTACCTATAAATATAGGTTAGGTTAGGTTAGGTAGGGTTGGTTAGGTTCGGTCATATATCTACGTTAATTTTAACTCCAATAAAAAAAAATTGACCTCATACATAGAGAAAAGGGTTGCTTTATCATTTCATAAGAAAAAAATTATAGTAAATATATTAATTCAGGAAAACTAGGCTTATTAGGCAAATCGGGCCTTGAATAGTAGGCTGAGAAGTGAGTTCTGGCTACTAGGTACGACATATATATATATATATATATATATATATATATATATATATATATATATATATATATATATATATATATATATATATATATATATGTAATGTGAATTATTCTGGGTAGAAGTAAATAGGAGCTGCCTCGTATGGGCCAATAGGCCTTTGCAGCTTTCCTTTATTCGTATATTCTGTTTAAATTAAACAAAGTTACTGAACCAGTATCGTCCTGTACCCATTCCAGAGTCAGTACTTCTATCTCACGTACTGAAACACCTGGTATTAATGGACGTGAAACCTATTCCGGGTATCCGGAAACCTAACCGACAGTTTCAAGGATCTATAATACCATAATATCTACCATCAGTGCCAATCACCGGCCCCTTGATGGACCCTTCTGCATGGGTATTGGCATGGTGCCCGGACTCTGTGCCAGTACCCTTCCCAGAGTCCACCATAGCACCAACACGGTCCGCATCCCAATCCGCGGGGCAGGTGCCGGGACCGTTGGGGCAGTAGATGAACTCCTGGCTGTGGGGGGACGACATCAACACCGCCAGATTGAAGACGGCGAAAACGACGACGGAGGCGACGAAGAAGAATCGGTCGAGGACGAGGCAGAGGTAGCGCCACTCCTGGCCGTGGGGCGAGGCGGCGGTGGCGCTGTCTTCAGTGGTCTTGTCTTCCCTGTTTGCCAGCAGATGGTGGATCCCCTCGAGGGCGTCGAGGCTTCGACGGTGGTACTCGTCTGCTGATGTTAAGTGTATGGTTAGTTGGTGGAGAAACACGTGTGTGTGTGTGTGTGTGTGTGTGTGTGAGTGTGTGTGTGTGTGTATGTGTGTGTGTATGTGTGTGTGTGTGTGTGTATGTAAAATTGATTGATTGACAGTTGAGAGGCAGGCCGAAAGACCCAGAGCTCAATCCCCACAAGCATAACTAAGTGGTCATATATATATTTATATATATATATATATATATATATATATATATATATATATATATATATATATATATATATATATATATATATATATATATATATATGACAATGTCTGACCACGGAGGAAAATGAAACAGGAATTTCCTTAAGTACTTTCGTATATTAAATACATCTTCAGAAGGAATGAATCATTCATTCCTTCTGAAGATGTATTTAATATACGAAAGTACTTAAGGAAATTCCTGTTTCATTTTCCTCCGTGGTCTGACATTGTCACATTCTTAATCACGTGTTTATTTTCGTGATATACATACATATATATATATATATATATATATATATATATATATATATATATATATATATATATATATATATATATATATATATATATATATATATATATATTACACAAATAATCACATTAATATGCATACAAAAACGTAACTATACAATAAAACAGAAGTATGCAATATGCAGAAAAGAAGAAAGAGTGAATATACATATTTTCCCTCGTAGTTTCAAGGCAAAACTCACCCATGGAGGAGGCCTTAGTTCGTCCAGGTGTGCCAGGGGGCTCCACCTGTACCACCTTCACCTTGGAGTCTCGCCGCTTCTCCTGGAAAGAACGAAACAGTGGGCCAGAATTCATCCAGCATTTGCACAACTCCTTACGAAACCTGAATATGTTTCCATAATCATGGCGGCTTTGTTTACGTAATGTCAATAAACAGCTTACGAGCTAAGACACTTCGCAAAAACAAGGTTATTATTGTTATAACCAACCTCGTAGTGCTTCGGAGCTCGTAAACTGTTTGATCAATTAGAAATGATGTACAGGTTTGATAAATTTTGTAAGTGGAGGAGAAAATGCTTTACAAATCCTGGCAGATGACCAGGCATCAGAAGTGAGTCAGACGAGTGACTTACTCCAGAGTCAGATGAGTGACTCTGGTGTAAACAAAGACACTCACCACACGACGCAGTTGAAGATCGAGGAAGCGTTTGATGGCCACGGTCGGCGCCCGGGACCTTCTGAAGGAGGCCCGCTCCCCCTTCCTCACCTAAAGACAAAAATTTATCTTGTCTACAGTTGTATTTTATGTGACACAGGCACAATATAGACGCGTCCATTTTCTTCGATATAACTCCCCAATGTTGTTCTATGTAGTACCCTAATTTCTCATATATTACATATATTATCATCCATATTAATTTTATTTTCTTCTTTATGACACTCCGTTTTCTACGATATAACACCCCTTTTTATTCTGCATAATACCACATTTTCTTCTATATAGGATTCTATTTTCCATTTAACACCCCTGTTTCTTCTACATAACACTTAATTTTCTTCAACATAGCTTCTCATTTTCATCTATATAACGACATTTTCTTCTATATAACCCCATTTTCATCTAACCACATTTTCCTCTATATAACAACATTTTCATCTACTTAACGCCATTTCTTTTCCAAGTAACCCAATTTTCATCTCTATAACATCCTATTTTCTTTTCTATAACTCCCAATTTTCTTATATATAACCCCGCAGTTGTTCTATATAACCCAATTTTCTTCTGTAAATCCTCTACACCACTTTATAAGTAAGCGAATGGTTGTATTCGTGAGGTATTTGCAGTTTCATATTACTAATAAAAACGAAGATAGTGTTATAGTACTGGAATTCACTAAAATTATCTTACAAGGATTCGTGTTGTCTGGTTGTGTGTTAGTATGTGGCTAGGTAAGTATCATGAGAAAGCATTAAGCTAGAGTGACTATACAGCATTTGGAAAGGACAGGAGAACAAGGAGCTGGGAAAGGACGAAGGTAAGGATCGGTGACTAATCACATGGACTATAGGGGATCGAACGCCGACCAGTATAAAAAAAAGCTAGACTTTCAATCTACCACACACGACCACTTGAGCTGGACGGTAGAGCGACGGTCTCGCTTCATGTTGGTCGGCGTTCAATCCCCGACCGTCCAATTGGTTGGGCACCATTCCTTCCTCCCCATCCCATCCTAAATCCTTATCCTGACCCCCTTTCAGGTGCCATATAGTCGCAATAACCTGGCGCTTTCCCCTGATAAATCCCACCCCCCTTCAATCTACCAATAGTCCAAGTAGATGAGGCAAGTGTTAGTGGGATGTGGGGACGGAAACAGAGCCTCGGGGAACGACATTATTGAGCGACAATGTACTCTGAGAGGAAGTCCTCGAGTGTGCGCATGAGTCGTGTCTTGCACACACAAATCTAGTACAACAGGTAAGTACAAAGTGAAGGCCTAGAGTGGTGAGTGTCTAGGGACTACAGCCTGGGGGGCTAAATATTAAAGCCAAGTGCTTAAAAAATAGAGACCGGTGCTAACCCTCACTAACTACATGTTAGTGGGCTAGTGCTGAAAATAACAGCCTAGAGCTAAACATTTATGTTATGGGATCATTGCAGAGAGGCGTAAGCAGACCCAAAGAGACACGGTTACGTGAAATAACTTAAATTCTGGAAGACATTGGACAAGTCGTTAAAAAATAATTATATTTATAACGGATTTAACACAAAGAAATAATTTTAATTTAGTTTTTTTATGACATGTAAGTTGCTTATGTTCTTGCCTTTCAAGTGAAAGATTTCACCAAACGTTGCTTAAAAGCTATGCATTCGCAGATACGTCAATAAGATCACAATTAATTCAAGAGATACAGTCAGGTAAATTATAGCAAAAACAAACCACGGAGTTTACTTTCGAGTGATAATCATCATCCCACATCTTCTTGAGGTCCTTCCCAGGTGAGACCAGAAGCACCCGTCCCATGAACCGTCCCACGGCGCTGTTGTGGAAAGGAAGAGACAGAGAGGGGCCAAGCTGTCAATCACAATTCATTCGGAGACACTAAGGAATAACAGAAGCATGTCATTAAGATTTAATATACGGAACATGGAAGGAGATGTAACTGGTATTCTCTGATAAGTAAATAGATAAAGACAAAGCAATAGCAAAGGAGATCAGTGAATATGTTCTTAAAAAGAATATTGAAAAATCTTTAAGTTATACACATATATATATATATATATATATATATATATATATATATATATATATATATATATATATATATATATATATATATATATATATATAATATGGCTGCTGGTGTAAAGGACTTGAAATATATTGTTTTCTAGTAGATTATGTCTAACATATATGACTGCAGGGTTACAGAGCCTATAATATATGTGACTGCAGGGTTAGAGGGTCATTAATATTCTATATTTGGCTAAAGGGTTACAGGGCCTATAATACAAATGGCTGCAGGGTTAGAGGCTGTGATATATGTACAATATTCAGGCTTGTTCGCACATGTACAATATATGGGACAAGGACAACTATCCACTGAGCAGCTCTGTAGGTACTCACCTAGTTGTACTCACCTAGTTGTGTTTGCGGTGGTTGAGCTCTGGCTCTTTGGTCCCGCCTCTCAACCGTCAATCAACAGGTGTACAGATTCCTGAGCCTATCGGGCTCTGTCATATCTACACTTGAAAGAGTGTATGGAGTCAGCCTCCACCACATCACCCCCTAATGCATTCCATTTGTCAACCACTCTGACACTAAAAAAGTTCTTTCTAATATCTCTGTGGCTCATTTGGGCACTCAGTTTCCACCTGTGTCCCCTTGTGCGTGTTCCCCTTGTGTTAAATAGTGCACAATAGGTGCACAATGAACAATGTTAGATTAGGTGTGTGTGTGTGTGTGAATGTGTTAGAATTAATCTAGCTGCAAGTGTTAGAATTATTATTCTAGCACGTATCTGCTCTACAGAATATTCCTACGTTATTCTTTAACTGGGAAGGACGTTAAAAAATTTACTCTAATGTTCATTTTACAATTTTAAGCAATTCTCATTGCATTCATGATGATCAGTGCAACCAAGTTTGAAATTTAAGACTTAAGACTTAACATATAGATTTTAATACACGTCATTTCTCTCTCTCACTGTTTGTCTCTCTCTCTCTCTCTCTCCCTCTCTCTCTCTCTCTCTCTCTCTCTCTCTCTCTCTCTCTCTCTCTCTCTCTCTCTCTCTCTCTCTCTCTCTCTCTCTCTCTCTCTCTCTCTCACCTGAGTGCTCCTGGCACGGGAGAGCTGGAGTGATAATGACAACGAAGAGAGAAGACAGAAGTCACGATGTTTATCCCCAACATGAGAATGCATCCCCCGTAGTAACGACCTAAGGGAAGAACACCTGGATGATAGGGACCTTCTCCCACAGGATACTGGAATGTTTTTTTTTTGTACCGAGATGGTAGGATACAGCCATGTTTGTACGTGGCATGTGGTAATGTTTGAAGACTGGGATAATGAGAGGTTGGGACTCTGGGATTGTGGAGTACGTAATGAGGTATATATGTACTGGGATACCGGAATGCTAGGAAGCTGGAATGCTGATTCTCTGATGGGTGGTGAGATGATCAGATGCTGGGGTACGTGGATGGAGTACTTGGGTGCTGGGATACAGGGATGATGTCTTTCCTGGATGATGAGTTGATGGGATAGTAAAATGGTAGCATGCGGGGATGATCATATGCTGTGATCTGATGCTTCTTTGGTGAGATAAGGGAATGCTGTGCTGCTCACTTGAAGATATAGAGGACAACTGGAATAAGAATTCAATGGGATTCTTGTGTTATCTGGACACAGATGTAGAATAAAACATGACATTTGTTTTAAATACAGGTAGCCACTAGCTTTACCCCACAGCATATTCACCAGTTTGTAAATGATACAAATAACCCAATATTTATTAGATAAACTCTACACAAACGCGCCTGCACACACACACACACACACACACACACACACACACACACACACACACACACACACACACACACACACACACACACACACACACACACACGCACACCATAAATAAAGAGTAAATAATGTAATGAATCAAAATTTTATTAAGCACAAAACTGAACTAAAGACATTAGTGTCAAACTAGACACTTACTCAGTTCAGAAATATACATGTTTTGAAAAGTTGCTACAGTTATCGAGAAGCTACCTCTCTCTCTCTCTCTATTTGTGATTTATAACAAAGTCGACCTAAATAAAAATAAAATTAACCTAAGCTTCACTTATCCTAAGGAAGGAAATATAACTCAACTTAGCTAAATCTAGCCTAACATAACTGAACTTAACCCAAACTATACCTTCATTAGGCATAGAGGCCAGTGCCTAATCCCCAAGACGCCTGCCTTACAGACAGGCCTACCTTAGGGAAAGACCTACCTTCGAGAAAACCAACCTTATAGAGAGACCTACCTTAGATAGAAACCTACCTTATAGAGAGATCTACCTTAGATAGAAACCTACCTTATAGAGAGATCTACCTTAGATAGAGACCTACCTCAGATAGAGATCTACCTTAGATAGAGACCTACCTTAGATAGAGACCTACCTTAGATAGAGACCTACCTTAGAGACCTACCTTAGATAGAAACCTACTTTATAGAGAGACCTACCTCAGATAGAGACCTACCTCAGATAGAGACCTACCTTAGATAGAGACCTACCTTAGATAGAGACCTACCTTAGAGACCTACCTTAGATAGAAACCTACTTTACAGAGAGACCTACCTCAGATAGAGACCTACCTTAGATAGAGACCTACCGTAGATAGAGACCTACTTTATAGAGAGACCTATCTTAGATAGAGACCTACCTTAGATAGAGACCTACTTTATAGAGAGACCTACCTTAAATGGAGACCTACCTTAGATAGAGACCTACCGTAGATAGAGACCTACTTTATAGAGAGTCCTACCTCAGATAGAGACCTAACTTAGACAGAGACCTACCTTATAGTGAGACCTACCTTAGACAGAGACCTCCCTTATAGAGAGTCCTACCTCAGATAGAGACCAATCTTATTGAGAGACCTACCTTAGAGACCTACCTTAGATAGAGACCTACTTTATAGAGAGACCTACCTTAGATAGAGACCTACCTTAAATGGAGACCTACCTTAGATAGAGACCTACCGTAGATAGAGACCTACTTTATAGAGAGTCCTACCTCAGATAGAGACCTAACTTAGACAGAGACCTACCTTATAGTGAGACCTACCTTAGACAGAGACCTCCCTTATAGAGAGTCCTACCTCAGATAGAGACCAATCTTATAGAGAGACCTACCTTAGAGACCTACCTTAGATAGAGACCTACTTTATAGAGAGACCTACCTTAGATAGAGACCTACCTTAAATGGAGACCTACCTTAGATAGAGACCTACCGTAGATAGAGACCTACTTTATAGAGAGTCCTACCTCAGATAGAGACCTAACTTAGACAGAGACCTACCTTATAGTGAGACCTACCTTAGACAGAGACCTCCCTTATAGAGAGTCCTACCTCAGATAGAGACCAATCTTATAGAGAGACCTACCTTAGAGACCTACCTTAGATAGAGACCTACCTTAGACAGAGTGTCTACCTTATAGAGAGACCTACCTTAGATAGAGACCAATCTTATAGAGAGACCTACCTTAGAGAGAGACCTACCGATGAGGGGGACGCTCTCAGTAGGGGGTATCTCTTGGGTCATGGACATGAGGAAGACCATCATAGCCAGCAGGGCGTTGGTAGCGAGGCTCACCTTCTCTCCAGACTCCGCCGGCAGCATGAACGTCATCAGGGCTGCCAGGGTCCAGGGGAGAGAGCAATGAACGAACGGGAGAGGGCGAGAGCAAGGGCTGGAGGAGGAGGATGAAAGGAGGAGGAGAGAGAGAGAGAGGGAGAGAAGGGAGGAAGTATGAAGGGATGAGAGACATATATAATAATTTATTTAGAAGAGAAAGGGGACTGAGGTTATGTGCTTGGGGAAACATATTGGGTTCTATGTATTATCAATTATCTTCGTAATTGGTTAGAATTGTGCTCTGACGTTCTTGTCCTTTTGTACTCAACTTTGTGCTTGTGTGTGTGTCCAATCACTTGGGCTGGACGGTAGAACGACGATCTCGCTTCATGCAGGTCGGCGTTCAATCCCCGACTGTCCAAGTGGTTGGGCACCATTCCTTTCCCCCCTCCCCCCCGTCCCATCCCAAATACTTATCCTGATCCCTTCCCCAGTGCTATGTAGTCATGATGGCTTGGCGCTTTCTCCTGATAATGTCCTTTGTGCTTGTGTGCGTGGGTGTGTTTATTATTTGGGCCAGCAGACTGATCTATTTTTTCCTCTATTATGTCATATATTATATATACTACATATACTACATATATTTCTCTCTAACACACGCACAAACTCACACATTCCCAGGTAGCAGGTCGTAGCAGCTGTCTAATACCCAGGTACCTATTTACTGCTAGGTGAACAGGGGCACCAGGGTGAAATAAATACTGCCCATTTGTTTCTGCCTCGGCCGGGAATTGGTCGTGTGTGTGTGTGTGTGTGTGTGTGTGTGTATGTGTATGTGTATGTGTGTGTGTGTGTGTGTGTGTGTGTGTGTGTGTGTGTGTGTGTGTGTGTGTGTGTGTGTGTGTGTGTGTGCGCGTGTGTGTGTGTGTGTGTGTGTGTGTACTCACCTAGTTCACCTAGTTGTGCTTGCGGGGTTGAGCTCTGGCTCTTTGGTCCCGCCTCTCAACTGTCAATCAACAGGTGTACAGGTTCCTGAGCCTATTGGGCTCTATCATATCTACACTTGAAACTGTGTATGGAGTCAGCCTCCACCACATCACTTCCTAATGCATTCCATTTGTCAACCACTCTGACACTAAAAAAGTTCTTTCTAATATCTCTGTGGCTAGAGATATTAGATATTAGATATGGCTCTGTGTGTGTGTGTGTATGTGACTGAGTAAACATGAGGATATAAATTTGTTAGGCAGCTCCTATATACAGCCAACCAAACTCACTCAAGGATTTGTCTATCCTACCCTTGAAACCCCTCAAGCAATCCTACGTTGATTGGATTGAATCACAATCCCACTGAACTGCATATTTCTAACAAGGGCAAGATAGAAAAAAAACTTAAAAAAGTGTATGTTATTTTAAGAGTTTGTCTTATGTGCCCTGATATCCTATCTTCCTAATTTCGAACACATATGTATTAATATATTGCTCTACAATTCTCACTAATCGTCACACGTAGATGTCTCTCGAATTCAGATTTCGTAACTTAAACACAATTCAGATTGAAATAAACCTGCACTAATCGGACTTAAGATAATCCCTACAATACCATGCGTTTCTACCTTCCTGATCAGTGTATCGTGAGGCCTACACGATACACTGACTAGTGGCAAAGACTTTCCTTGCTACAGTCAGGGTCATGTTTGGGAGACCCGCCCTCACCACAGGTGTTGACGACGGCCCCCGGGAGGATGAAGAAGAAGACGGCAAACATGGTCCTCCTCTGAAGCTGCAGGTGATATGTTACAACTGTTGCCAGGGGTAAAAGAAAGATATATTGAGAGAACATTTGAATATGATTCTCTCTCTCTCTCTCTCTCTCTCTCTCTCTCTCTCTCTCTCTCTCTCTCTCTCTCTCTCTCTCTCTCTCTCTCTCTCTCTCTCTCTCTCTCTCTCTCTCTCTCTCTCTCTCTCTCTCTCTCTCTCTAGAGATACATCCGTGGACTTACAAGTGAAGGGCTTGAGGCAGCATGGGTCATGAACTTGAGTCGTGACAGAGTAGAAGTCCTCGAGGTAGTACTCAGGGTGAGGGGAGTACTCTGACAGGTCCGCTTTTCCCATCACTAACTCCACCTGGACAAATACCAACAAGTAAATTTTCTGTAGAAACTACTGCCTAGAATTCGTCGTAAAATTACTTATTCATGGTTGTCTATATAATACAGAGATAGTCCTTCTGTAATGTGATGATACAAAATTATTTGGTCCATTCACTGCCTATTAAATCTACAAGAAAATTAATTGATATATTGATCGAAATACCGAGCACACCGTTAAAATTATTATAGTTACTACAGTTTAACCTAAAATTTATGATAAGAGTCAGATTCTTTCTTTAAATAAGAAAACAAAATTCATCTCCTGGCAGCATGTTTGAAAACTTCAAAATGTTCAACCTAGGTCCCATTAACATTCCAGAGACAATTTAAGTTTGAAATCTTGTTCCTCGTTGTGGTCAGGTATTGTCCCTGGAAAAGTTATAGACCTCAAGGTCTAGAATCTCACTTGTTGCAAAAGATGTTCATTTCTAATCTAATTTGTGTGGGATCGAAGTAAACTCGAGTTTGGAATTGTATCAGTCGGCGGATTATACAACCCTTCAAATTAAACTAGTCACTCTCCTAGGCCACTGATAGGCCTTCCGGAAGGTGAGCCACCTACCTCGTCGGTGGTGTGGGTCCAGGAGGCAAACACCAGCTGACAGTCCTGCTGGTCGAACGGGTACCAGAAGGTGTTGACATCGCAGGTGGACTGGAAGAAAGCATGGGAGGCCAGTTGCACCTCGCCCGTGTACTTGATTTTGGCGTTCGTGTTGAGGATTCCCAGCTCGTAGTTTGAGTCGGCGCTGGCAAACAGTCACAAGTTTTAAAAGTATTTTGTATTTCATCAGAGGATTTGCAGAGAAACCTTAAAATTCGGTTTGTTTGCCCCTTTATTGAATCATATTTATAGTGAAAGAGAGACAGACAGACAGACAGAAATAGAGGCAGATATACAGACACATCTTGACGAATAGACAGACATATAAACACAAAGGGAGACGAGACTCAACAAACAACCCAAAGTCAGTAGAGATGAGAGACTCTAGAACACAGACTAAACTCACGTATTGTGAAGGATGACATCAGGATACCAGATGTCCTTGTATGGCACTCTGATGACCTCGGTGCCGTTGAAGGAGGCAGGATCCCACGAGAGGAAGTGATCCTTCCACTGTAAGATCATCTCTGTGTTCGTCACCAGTTTCTGCTCCCGAGTGTGCTACGGCGAGACACAACACATTCTCTTGGACTTAATATAAGAAGATCAGGTAATATTGACTTCGAGAAAAAACATTAATTTTCACTAATACCTATTACGTTATTTCCTATAACACCACAAATCTGAGACATTTCAAACCTTGGGCGCTCCAGACCTTGGACACTCCAGACCTTGGACATTCCAGACCTTGGACATTCCAGACCTACGATATTTCAAACCTTGGACGCTTCACACATTGGACACAACAGATATTGGACATTTCAAGCTTTAGACATTCCAAATCTTGAACATTCATTTAGAAGTGCTGAACCTAATCTTACTTGTTACTACTACTACTACAAGTATTTTTAGCATGATTAGTACTATTACCACTGTTGCTTCTACTTCTATTACTACTGCTATTACTACTACTACTACTACTACTACTACTACTACTACTGCTGCTGCTGCTGCTACTACTACTACTACTACTACTACTACTACTACTACTACTACTACTACTACTACTACTACTACTACTACTACTACTACTAATTCTGCTGCTACTACAACTACCAGTTCTACTAGGCAGTTACTATTGCTCCTATTACTACTACTCACAGTACTATCATTAGTATTAATACTACTACTACCTATAATCAACTGCATACTCCCAATTCCCCTATCAGAGATCTGCTAGACACCATAGCTCACTGGATTAAGTGAGCTCTCTCTGGTGGGGTGATCACCACCCCACCAGAGATTATTTCCTGAACACAGTGTTATCCAACGCCACCAGTCTCACCAAAGCCAAGACGTTGTAGAGAGCGATCTCGAAGAAGACCTCGGTGACCTGGTCGTGGGAGGGCACTGGGCGGACGTGCTTGTTATAGCGGGCGAAGAGGTCGTCGAAGAGCTGGTGGAGGTCAGAGGTCTCAGTCCTCGTGTTCTGAAGGAGACCTTCTCCCTGTTCTCCTTCTTCCCTATCTGCCACAGGAACTGCAGGGAGGAGAATTAGCCTCCAATGGGAGTTAAACTGGTTACTAGGTGAGAATTTGCTTCTGTGATAGTCATATTAGTTACTTCGTGAAGTAGTTGATAGTAGGAGATGCAGAAATAATAGTGGTCTTGGTAGAAATATATGTGTGTGTGTGTGTGTGTCTGTGTACTCACCTAGTTACTCACCTAGTTGTACTTGCAGGGGTTGAGCTTTGTCTCCTTGGTCCCGCCTCTCAACTGCCAATCAACTGGTGTACAGAATCCTGAGCCTACTGGGCTCTATCATATCTACATTTGAAACTGTGTATGGAGTCAGCCTCCACCACATCACTGCCTAATGCATTCCATTTATTAACTACTCTGACACTGAAAAAATTCTTTCTAACGTCTCTGTGGCTCATCTGGGTACTAAGTTTCCACCTGTGTCCCCTTGTTCGTGTCCCACCCGTGCTGAAGAGTTTGTCTTTGTCCACCCTGTCAATTCCCCTGAGAATTTTGTAGGTGGTTATCATGTCTCCCCTTACTCTTCTGTTTTCCAGGGACGTGAGGTTCAGCTCCTTTAGCCTTTCCTCGTAGCTCATTCCTCTCAGTTCCGGGACGAACCTGGTGGCATACCGCTGAATCTTCTCTAGCTTTGTCTTGTGTTTAACTAGGTATGGACTCCAGGCTGGAGCTGCATACTGCATACCAGGATTGGTCTTACATAAGTGGTATACAGGGTTCTGAAAGATTCCTTACACAAGTTTCTAAAGGCAGTTCTTATGTTGGCCAGTCTAGCATATGCCGCTGTGTGTGTGTGTGTGTGTGTGTGTGTGTACGTGCGCGCGCGCCTTACCTGAACACCCAACAAGTGGGAGGATGAGGAGGCCACCTAGCCAGGCTGACCCCACCATGGCCTCTCAAAAAGAGTCCTGACCTCGACCTTCCCAGAAGCGCCAGGCTCAAGTACGGCGTTCGGGCAGGATCAGTGGACACCCGCCCCCTTGACGCCTCGCAGCAACGGCAGCTTCCTAACAGAGACGATAAAGTAGAAATTCGGGGAGAGCAACTGAAAAATAGGAAAACGAAGAGTTTAAATACTGGGAGAGGGTCAATAGGAGACTTCAGATGTTGGTGGAGAGAGAGAAGGAAAAGGAAAGAAAGAGGGAGACAGTTAAGGGGTTATGGTACCCGAAAATCCGAAGAAAAATGGAATATTTACGAAAAATTACGAAAAATACTACAACGTTTTGGCAACACTGTGGTGCAAACCGTTTAATTTTATCTTGAAAAATAACGTAATTAGAGTCAAATTTCCCGCTGCAACTTTCGTGAATCTGGTCCTCGCGGTGTAGGTGCGGCGCGGGGTATTGTATCTTACGTTGTAGAAGTCTTATTTTTCGTAATAGCGTTGAAAATAACATGTTATGCATAAAATGAATATAAACTCACTCATTGGCAACAGTATCGTGTGAGAGAGAGGGTGGTGTGTGGCTCAGCCCATCAGTGACTGTGCGTCTCTCTTGGGGAGTGGATGTATGCTGACGCGCTCTCACATTATCTCCCAGAACTCATGCTATTTGTACTGCAATATGACTTACCAAACGAACAAGAGAAAAGCATTGAAAGCTAGATGCATGCGAGCTCTCCATAGAAGGTACAAGCTGGCCGCAATGCGTAAATCACGCATTGTCACGAGTGACCGCGAGTAGAGTAACTTGTCGCGCGCGCTACGCAACTCCAACTTTTACAACTAGATCTGCCTTTACAGCCTTTATTTATTATTCAATTTACATGAAACTTGCACATTATATGTAGAGTTTACGCCTCTAAAAACGGTTGATATTTTTCTTATCTACGTAGATTTATTGACTTTATAAATAATGATACACTTCATTTTGTTGCATACGTTTTTGGGAAACTTTTAAAAATCTGTATTATTGCACTAAATACATCTGGGATAAAGATCGATCAACCAAATCTTTATTATATAGTAAGGTAAGGCTGAGTGTCGTAGAAATGATTTTGGTTCACAATTGTGGGCTGTGAAAGCAATTGAACATTGTTGAAAAATTGTATAATTTTTTTTTTCTCCTTCTCTATTTAGGCTGAGATGCTGAAACTTGGCCTAGGTGCAGCACCTTTCACATGTATCAGGATAATAAATTATGAATACCCTACAACAACTCTCATATTTCCGGTCTTATAACCCCTTAATTGGAAGATAAGATGTCGTGGTGCAGCCCCGGCTGCCAGGGGTACCTTTCCTGTGCTCACCAGAGTGCTGAAACAGTTGTAATCGTGATTGAAAGAAGCAGCTGCCTGCTATCTCAACCACATTATCAGGTGGTGATTTCTGCAGGTAAATCAAGGTTTTCCCACAGCCTATTTCATGCTCTATTATTTGGCAAACAAAAAACGTGCTATGGTCAATTTGTTATAGTTTAGTTAATTTATTATACACCCATTACCTATCCTATCCACTATTGCAAGTTAATGTGAAAGTTTTCTCAGTAGTAAGGGCACCGTTGCACAACGCTCCGCCCTAACTTAGGAAGAACAGCAATGCAGACGGCCATCACAAACAGCTACCACTCAGGAATGTTGTTTACCGAGGACGGTGCTGCGGCGTGTCTCATATTGGTCAATACTTCAGGAGTTTATAGTCACTCTATCCGTCACTGTGAAGCTGTCATACAAACCTGGACGTTTTATTGTTCATTAACTGAATTTAACGTCACCGTTAACGTAGATACTCGAGCGAGCAAAATCATTTACCAATAGAGTATGCGAGCGCGAATCTCCTGTCGTGCCGTGGAGTGGGAGGGAGGATAATTAGCGTCCTCACCAGCCAGCCACGTCCAATTGGGTACCCCCCTCCTGTGGATGTGACAGCCTTCCCGAGGGATCGGCGCGTGTCTGGATAGAACGGTCGTGAAGGACGAGGCTACATTCAGCTCTGCTTCTCCACTTTGACATTTTATTGCGGATTTAAACGAACCTCTACCGTCTTACTGGCTCGGTGTCCAAGTGTTTCATTACTCTTTCTGCGTGGGCTGATAATGGGGAAGAGGTGTGGGGAGGAGGAGTGGGGAAGAGATGAAGGAAGACAATAAAGATGGGGGAAGAAATGTGGGAGAGAGACGTAAACAGAAACAAAATGAACTGCATAAAATAAGGCAGGGAAGATATATTTTAATGGTCCAGTCTGCTGCGATTTTTTATGAATCACGCTGTGCTCTTTAGAGTGAACCCTTGACAGCTCTTCAGAGTCAATCCCTAACGGCTTTTTAGAGGCAATCTCTGATAACTCCTTAGAGATAATTTCCCTGTCTCGTAAATGTACTACACCCCAGACCCCCGTCAATGTACTCACCTATTTGTGCTTGCGGGGGTTGAGCTCTGGCTCTTTGGTCCCGCCTCTCAACTGTCAATCAACTGGTGTACAGATTCCTGAGCCTACTGGGCTCTATCATATCTACATTTGAAACTGTGTATGGAGTCAGCCTCCACCACATCACTGCCTAATGCATTCCACCTGTTAACTACTCTGACACTGAAAAAGTTCTTTCTAACGTCCCTGTGGCTCATGTGGGTACTCAGTTTCCACTTGTGTCCCTTTGTTCGCGTACCACCAGTGTTTAATAGTTTATCCTTGTCTACCCTGTCAATTCCCCTGAGGATTTTGTAGGTAGTGATCATGTCTCCCCTTACTCTTCTGTCTTCCATAGTCGTAAGGTGCATTTCCCGCAGCCTTTACTTGTAACTCATGCCTCTTAGTTCTGGGACTAGTCTAGTGGCATACCTTTGAACTTTTTCCAGCTTCGTCTTGTGCTTGAAAAGGTACGGGCTCCATGCTGGGGCCGCATACTCCAAGATTGGTCTTACATATGTGGTATACAAGATTCTAAATGATTCCTTACAAAGGTTCTTGAAGGCTGTTCTGATGTTAGTCATCCTCGTGTATGTCGCAGACGTAATTCTCTTTATGTGGGCTTCAGGAGACAGGGTTGGTGTCATATCAACTCCTAGATCTTTCTCTATGTCCGTTTCATGAAGGACTTCATCTCCCATTCTGTATCCTGTGCCTGGCCTCCTGTTTCCAGACACAGGATAATGCACTACACCTCAGAGTCCCGTCAGTGCACTACACCCCGGAGCCCCGTGGAGGTAATCTCAGCCGTGCTCTGCACCAGGGAACACCGCTCAAGCCGGCCTGGCGGACCCTGGGTCGAACACGGTACTTAAAAACCATCAAAATCAGGAACATTGATTTCAGGTACAGCAGATGTGTATAGCACAATATGTCTATTAGCATTCTTGCACGCGTTCCCTCGCGAAAGGGATCGGGGAGCTTCCCGACGAAGCATTTTTTGTGCAATTGAATTTTATCTTTTCCAGTTGCAACCATTAGCATCTGCAGTTACGAGCTGTTAGCTGCTTATTTGTTTTCTTGCATGTTATTTCTTGCATGTTTTCTTGTATGCTACGCATATAAAATACCTTGTAAAGAATGTAATAGGTTCTATGTTGGGCAAACATCTAAAGATTTGAATTGTAGAATTTCGCAACATAAATACTTTGTAAGACATGGCCAATTGTCTAATGCTTTGTTTGTTCATTTGTCAGAAAATTCTCACCAAAGTTATTTTGGAGAAGGCTTCTACAATAACGAATTGTAAAATACTTTCAATTGGAACATAATTGAATCTGGTTTAATACAGATTACAAAATCATGTAATTTGAACATTAGCAGTGGTTTATATAATTTAGATCCCTTTTTGATTGATTAGTTAAAGGGCGATTTAAGAAGGATCATTGATACACATTTGCCTCACTAATTCATTGTTAATATCTACTATCTTATGCTATTATTATCCATGTATGGGCCTATTGATGCAGCTCTTATTTTATAGCCACCTAATCCCATTCATATAATTGTCATTATACCTCACTTCACCTCTCGCTCCTGCCTATATATGTCCAGACTTATTGACTTTTAACAGCCGAAGGTAATTACGGGCTCACCATAGCCCGTGCTACATGGACATTTCGTTCTGAGTAACTAAATCTAAAACAACAACAACAATGACTTGTAAATCATTCCTTCTGAAGATGTATTAATATACGAAAGTACTTAAGGAAATTCCTGTTTCAATTCTTCCTCTGTGGTCTGTCACATTTTTCATCACGTGTTAATTTTCGTGATTTACACACACACACACATACACACAAACACACACACACACACACACACACACACACACACACACACACACACACACACACACACACACACACACACACACACACACACACACACACATATATATATATATATATAGGGAATCAAAACCCGGATGACCCCGCACTTCGCCCAGATGGCATCACTATATACCCCTGGAAAAGGGGCAGACAGTTTGTTTTGTGTGGGACTACACATGTGTATCCACCCTGGCTGATACCTACAAACACTTCGGTGCTGATCAAGCAGATGGGGCGGCCAACCACAGGGAAATAGCAAATTCGTTCATATATAGGGAATTGGAAGGTCAATACTCCTTTGTTCCCATAGCGTCTGAGACGCATGGCCCCTGGGGTAGGAGTGCCTTGGTATTTCTCAAAAAATTGGGTTCCAGGCTCCTTGACGTCACCATAGGCCCAAGGGCTGCAAGTTTCTAGTTTCAGCGCCTCAGTGTGTCGATCCAGAGAGGAAACGCCTACTGCATCCTCGGTTCCTGTCCGGAAGCAGAGGAGCTCCAAGAGATCCATAACATTTCAACACTCATTGTATTAACTAATGTACATCTTGTAACCTTTAAATATATAATAAAGCACAACAATAATTAATCTGTTATTCCACATATATATATATATATATATATATATATATATATATATATATATATATATATATATATATATATAAAAGGGTGTTAGTGGCAATGGTTGTATCAGTGGTGGACGGTGTTAGTGGCAGTGGTTGTATCAGTGGTAGACGGTGTTAGTGGCAGTGGTTGTATCAGTGGTAGACGGTGTTAGTGGCAGTGGTTGTATCAGTGGTGGACGGTGTTAGTGGCAGTGGTTGTATCAGTGGTGGACGGTGTTAGTGGCAGTGGTTGTATCAGTGGTAGACGGTGTTAGTGGCAGTGATTGTATCAGTGGTAGACGGTGTTAGTGGCAGTGATTGTATCAGTGGTAGACGGTGTTAGTGGCAGTGGTTGTATCAGTGGTAGACGGTGTTAGTGGCAGTGATTGTATCAGTGGTAGACGGTGTTAGTGGCAGTGATTGTATCAGTGGTAGACGGTGTTAGTGGCAGTGGTTGTATCAGTGGTGGACGGTGTTAGTGGCAGTGGTTGTATCAGTGGTAGACGGTGTTAGTGGCAGTGGTTGTATCAGTGGTGGACGGTGTTAGTGGCAGTGGTTGTATCAGTGGTGGACGGTGTTAGTGGCAGTGGTTGTATCAGTGGTGGAGAGTGGGAGCAAGTAGGGAACACACCTGAGTGTGTCGTGGTGGCTGAAAACATCTGAAGTTTAACTTTATGATGAAGACATTTGAAAGACATACCAGTGATACTTAATGAAGATGCCAGATGGATACCAGGTAGAGATACCAGGTAGAGATACCAGGTAGAGATACCAGGTAGAGATACCAGGTGGACGATGGAGTGACCCCGTAGAGCTCACGTGGAGACCTTCAGGCGCTGACTACCAGATTTGTTCTGTGGAATCGACGTGAGCCACAAAACCCAATTCCTCTGAACTAACTGCTCCTTACCCCTCCCACCCGACACCTGAACCACCCACCCCTCTACCTGCCCTACTTCCCTCTCACTATCCCCCCCCCCCCATCTACCTGAACATTCACCCTATTATCGCTCCCCCCTCCCCCCCTCTAACCACGTCCCCCTCTAACACTATCCCCCTCTAACCACCTCCCCCCCCCTCTGTTTTTCTCGTAGGCGCCCAATTTGCTGCCCTACTATAAAGCTAGACAAGAACAATCTGATGCTTAATCCATTGCTTAATATATTAGGTGTGACAATTAATACAAATTTGTCCTTCAACATTTTTATTATAGATATTGCAGCACAATGTACATCAACGCATTTTATGGCAAAGTTCCTATTTCACAGAGTTAATTTGTCGTTCGGATGAATTAGTTCCTCACCTGGCTGGGTTAGTGCCCCCCGCCTGGCTAAGTTCCGTGTCCGGATGTGCTGGGTTGGCCGGAACACGGAACATAATGATTTACATTACATATCTCTCTAAAGCAATTCCATCGCACACTTCCTCCTGCAAGTCTATGCACACGCCCTTCTCTCGCTACACCAAATCACTGGGGTGTTTTTGGCGGATGGAGAGGAGAGAACAGTTGATTTATGGCAAGTTTGACAACCAGGGGCGGGCGTCCTCCTGGCTGACGACCCCAGCTTGCAGGGCCTTCATCACGAAGTCTCGGGTTGCGAACTCGATGCTCTTCGGGATTCTGTCGGTGATGGCTGTTAGGAGAAACACACAAAGTTACTCTAACTTTAGAAACTATCTTTAATACGACGAATGAGAAGAGACAGTGAAAAAAGACACAGAGATAGAGAGGACTAGTATTTGTTAACATAATTAATCTATTATACATAACAAGGCATAAAGCAATAAAACACTCCTGAAAATGTTATAATATCCAGCCATCCCAAATTCCCCGCCACATTCCTAGAAAAATTACCAACTGGATAATATTACATAAAGAAATACATGCCACCGTCAGGGTAATTTTATCCTAACCTAACTTAATACACTCTAACATCATACACTCTAGCTTAATACACTCTAACGTAATACATTCTAACGTAATACATTCTAACGTAACACACACTCTGCCCTGATTGGACGCTTGACGTACCTGTTCCAGACAGATTGACCCAGCCAGGACACCAGACCTTAGCCAAAATATGCATGCTCCAGTTCATCAAGAGAGGCCGGGTGTGGTAGGCACACTGGTGATTCAGCAGTTCAAACTCGTTACCCACGTGCATGCGACTGAAACAGTTACGAGGAGGATTATAAACTGTGCTTGGGGAACCCGAGGCAGGCATCAAGGGTGGATAATGTTATGGTAGACGGATTAATGTCGTGATAAAGAGGAAGCAGGGCATGAATAACATTCACAAAAACACATACAAAATTGCTTGAAGAATTGCTTGAATTTGAATAAATTTGTAATAGATAGAGCATCGAGAACATTATTTTTCCTACTATTATTACGGTTCACGTATGCATACACAGTGGACTCCCAATAATATATTATAGCTATGAGAAAATCTTTGGAGCAGAGAGGGAATCAAACCAACGTCCTGTGTACTCCAAGGTGCGTACCTTAACCCATGAACCATGACGTGCTGAAAGTCACACAGTCTTGGATCCGGCCGGATCCACACCGTGCTGGTAAAGATAATTATCAAGAGAAAGCACTAAGCCATTATGACTATATAGCACTTGGAAGGGATATAAGAATAGGGACTTAGGATAGGACGTAGGGAAGGAATGGTGCCAATCCAAGTTTGGCATACAACCCACATACACTCTGGTAATGGAGTTCTCCGTCAAACCATTAGCCATTATCGTGGTCCACGGATCAAAAGGCGTGCTTCTAGGGTTACCCAGAGCGTTGGTTCGATACTCGTCCTGCTCCAAAGATTTTTCCCATTAATATATATATATATATATATATATATATATATATATATATATATATATATATATATATATATGACAGTGTCAGACCACGGAGGAAAATTGAAACAGGAATTTCCTTAAGTACTTTCGTATATTAATACATCTTCAGAAGGAGCACTCCTTCTGAGATCTATTAATATACGAAAGTACTTAAGGAAATTCCTGTTTCAATTTTCTTCCGTGGTCTGACACTGTCACAATTTTAATCACGTGTTGTTTATTTTCGTGATACACACACACACACACACACACACACACACACACACACACACACACACACACACACACACACACACACACACACACACATATATATATATATATATATATATATATATATATATATATATATATATATATATGCGGAAAATCCACAGAGAAATATAAAAGAAAGTGAACGTTTCGGCCTGTTAAAGCCGTTGTCAACACCAGACTGTCAGTCTGGTGTTGACAACGTCAGTCAGTATGGTGTTTATGCATCCATAAATGCATAAATGTATGCATGCAAGTGAACGCAAACATTCACATATACAGCGATTGTGCTTGACCCCTAACAGTACATATCATTGGCACTTACTGGGTGACCCTGTCAAGAATCATGTATATTATGGAGTCCCAGTGCAAGGGGCGGAATTTGGACGGGTCTTTGCACGCTATGCACTGGAAGGGTTCCCTTGGTGGGACCTGGATGAAGGGGTTCTTGCCATGAGAGGTCCGAGGGGACCCCCTCGGGGTATTACCGGTAGCGGATGTTTGCGCGGGGGTGAGAACTCGGTTGAGTGGATGATTGGAGGGTATTTGTTGATAGGAGTTGTCTTGCATGGATGATGGTCTGTTGGAGGGTGTGCGTGGAGAGGTGTCGTCAATAGATACTGGGTTATGGAAATCCTGTTGAGGCGTGTGTCCTACAGGGGCCCAGATAGAAGGCGTCCCTGGTCCCTGTGGTCCCACACTCGCCCAAACAGACGTAGGACGACTCTCGCCACCTGCTGGCGCCAGAACGAGCAAAGAGCAGACAGGCAGCAGCAGAATGCACAACCTCGGCATCTTGTTGGGTTATGAACGGCTTCTGACTGCTTGCTTGAGTCTCTCCTGACTCCCCTTCAGGCCGCGATCCGCAGGATGTCGCCTTCCTGCTTCATAAGATACCAACAAATAAACGTGATTGTTGACCGGACTGGTAATATAGAGGGAAGAGACGTCAACATATACGTGTATATGTTGACGGTATATGTTAGGTATATGTTAGGGTATATGTTAGGGTATAGTGAGGACTGCCACTACTGACACTGTTATGCTAGCAGTGTTAATAATGGCAGTAATGAAACTAGTAGTAATGGCATTAGTATAGAACTAGTAATTTACGTAGGAACTGAAGAAACTGCACAAGGCCTATTGTAATAGTACTAGAAGAGACAGTAACTGCACCAGAAGAGACAGCAACAGCAACAGGACCAGAAGAGACAGCAACAGCACCATAAGAGACAGTAACAACACCATAAGAGACAGCAACAGCACCATAAGAGACAGTAATAACACCATAAGAGACAGTAACAACACCATAAGAGACAGCAACAACACCATAAGAGACAGCAACAACACCATAAGAGACAGCAACAACACCATAAGAGACAGCAACAACACCATAAGAGACAGCAACAACACCATAAGAGACAGCAACAGCACCATAAGAGACAGCAACAACACCATAAGAGACAGCAACAACACCAGAAGAGACAGCAACAGCACCATAAGAGACAGTAACAACACCATAAGAGACAGCAACAACACCAGAAGAGACAGCAACAACACCATAAGAGACAGCAACAACACCATAAGAGACAGTAACAACACCATAAGAGACAGCAACAACACCATAAGAGACAGCAACAACACCATAAGAGACAGCAACAGCACCATAAGAGACAGCAACAACACCATAAGAGACAGCAACAACACCAGAAGAGACAGCAACAGCACCATAAGAGACAGTAACAACACCATAAGAGACAGCAACAACACCAGAAGAGACAGCAACAACACCATAAGAGACAGCAACAACACCATAAGAGACAGCAACAACACCATAAGAGACAGTAACAACACCATAAGAGACAGTAACAACACCATAAGAGACAGTAACAACACAATAAGAGACAGTAACAACACCATAAGAGACAGCAACAACACCAGAAGAGACAGCAACAGCACCATAAGAGACAGTAACAACACCATAAGAGACAGTAAGAGCAGTAACAGTACTGGAGAGTGGGAACAGGATGACAGAGGCCCCAGTAGAAGGTCAGAGGTGAACAGGATCAGTGAGAGAGAAACAGAAGCAGGATGGTAACAAGATAAAGGAGAAGAAGGGAGAGAGAGAGAGAGAGAGAGAGAGAGAGAGAGAGAGAGAGAGAGAGAGAGAGAGAGAGAGAGAGAGAGAGAGAGAGAGCGCAGGATAAGACAAGAGAAGATGAAGAGTGAGGGAGGGAAACGTGATAGGAAAAGGAAAAGGGAGCAGAGAGATGAAGAGTGGGGGAGCAAGACAAGGGAAGAAAAGTCAAAGAGAGAGAGAGAGGGACGTTATCAGGACAAAAGAAGGAAAGATTAACATAGAGGAAGACCCCCAAGTTAAAGGGAGGGAAATTGGTAGTGAGATGGATCAAGAAAAGAAAAAGGGATAGAAAGAATGAGGGAACGAAACAAGATAAGAGAAAGGAAGGATAGAGAGAGGGAGAGATGGCATTCAAAGAGCTACTCAAATCCCCAAAAGCGTTACCTCAATGTAAGTCACACGCTAATCAACTGTCACTATCTTTTCTAGAAATATCAACTTGATTGCAAGAAAAATATATTATACGATTAAGTAATGTATATATATTATTGCAGCAGATCTGCTGGATATAAGAAACTAGTCAGCTAGGATGGCAGGAGCACCTCAAGGTAGATAGTTGTTATTAATAAGGAACTGCTGCCATTAATGCATAGTTTGTTGAAAAGTATTTTAAATCCTGTTAAAGTCAGAATTCTGTTGCATAAGTTGTTTTCAGAGTCTTATCCAGCCTAACACCTGAATCAGATGATGATGAAAAACTATTAATATCATACAAATATGAAGAATGTACAATGTTCTTATAATGCACAACAAAATATTTTAAGGTATATATTTTTCACTGTATAGTAGCAATTTAATACTCTATGTTATCACCACCACTGTTATCACTACCACCACTGATATTATTGCTAAATATATCTTTATATCACCACTGAAGTCGTAAGCTGTAGAGCTGACCAATTCAACCAGAAATTCAATAATTTGTTCAAACGAATGCAGCATCTGAATTCTGATCAAGCAAGCCTATTGGTGATGCACACTACGTCAGGTCGGGTGGTACCTTGTAACATTCAGCGTTTCCTGCACGGGATACTTCAAATTCTTTTGAAGGAGGGAATTATCAGGGGAAAAAGCACCAAGCCATTACGTCTAAATAATCAAATTCTTTTGAACGACCACAGAGTAGGAAAGGAACTCAGACTCACCAAAGTTCTCTCTGGAAATAGGCGTTGAGCGATCTTCTCTTCTTGAACGCTGAACGACTCTCTCCTACACGCTCAGAGGGACAATGAGTGGCCCTAAAAGTCCAACTATGGATCTCCCAGTAGCCTCCATGGTGCTAGTCCACGTCCGAAAGTTGACCTTTCTCACACATCCTGAGCATACACTGACACACACATGTAAACATCCTGAGCATAAAGTCGCTCACATATCCTGCCCTTTTCTTTAGCAGTACAATATTGTGTGTGGTTCTGGAGATATATATTATATGCTTATGGCACATTAAAGTGTCTTATTGTGTGTGCCATAACGATACTAATAATATTGTCTTACAGTGTTAAATATCACTAATCAATCTTTTCCTGATTTAACTAGCCCGCTAAACTTAATCTAAGTTTAAGACCTAACGAACCTTAAGCTTAAACCTAAGCAACCAACCTAATTAGTCCATCCATCTCAACTAATCTCACCAACAGCGTTTCCTGCACGTTTCCTGTTTCCTAACTTAACCTGACTTAACTTCACCTAGTCTTAACTATGTGAATAACTTAATATGCTTTATGCATACAGCTTCTAGCCATATAAGAGTGAAAATAATACAAAGAAATCCCAATGACGTGATATATCAGTGAGAAAAATCACTTAAGAGACAATGAGATGACTTGAACCGGCGTCCTACGTGAACGTCTAGTAACCACTAGGACGCTGGTTCAAGTCATTGCCTCAAATGATTTTCTCAATGGAAATAATTGTCCAATGCATTCAACCATTGTGTCTTACGTTACTTTTATGTCATATATTTAAGTACTCAGCACGAAGATAAAGGTGATGATGTGGAGAAAGCGCTGAGCCAGTTTGGCTATATAGCACTTGGAAAGGGTAAAGAGGACAAAGAGCCAGTGTGTGAGGATAGAGTGAAGGAAATGTGCCTCGCTACTTGGACAATCACGGACCGAGCCCCAACCCAAAATTGGTTTCCTATTATATGTTTAGTAGAAAGCAAGCTGTAAGAAAAAATTATTAAATCCTGCTTCAGTTACATTCCTCCTTGTCAAAGTTGCGGTTGGGTAATTCTTTACCAAATTCTGTATCGCCTGCACACGTCACCAGAGGTCAGTAGAGTCAGCTCACAACCGAATGGTTCCGGGTGTGATTCCCGTGTAGAGTGAGACATTCGGCACCTGATGGTTCTGTTCAACAAGCAGTAAATAAGTACCCGGGAGTAAAACATCACTACCACAGCCTCATTCACATCTCTAAAAAATGCTGGTCATGGTAATAATAACATTCCTTTATCAACTATTAAATTAATATGCTCAGCTAAGGAGCCGGTCGGTCGAGCGGACAGCACACTGGACTTGTGATCCTGTGGTCCCGGGTTCAATCCCAGGCGCCGGCGAGAAACAATGGGCAGAGTTTCTTTCACCCTATGCCCCTGTTACCTAGCAGTAAAGTAGGTACCTGGGTGTTAGTCAGCTGTCAAGGGCTGCTTCCTGGGGGTGGAGGCCTGGTCGAGGACCGGGCCGCGGGGACACTAAAGCCCCGAAATCATCTCAAGATAACCTCAAGATAGCTATATACTAGTGTTTCTCTGCAAATGTATCATTGGCACAAGACACATGTTCTCTCTTATAGTATAGATTTACCTGAATTTACTTCCGGTGGGTGGGGGGGGGGACCTTCCGGGATACATTCATACGACCGCACATTGTATTGTGTGTTTTTATACATTCAGATATGTACAAACTCGCAGTATACTTTAGCTATGATTGTATTTGCTGTTATCAAACACCACAGTGATCAGAGGTCACCACACACACACCACAGTGATCAGAGGTCACCACACACAGTGGACCTAAAGGTACACTTGACCCCCGTTGTCGGTAACCACTTCAAGGTGGACACAAAATACAAAAGTAACGTTACTTAAATGTTAAATAATCTCTATCAACGTTGATAACGTTAATTCAGCTTTATTTCAACGTTGATAACGTTAATTCGTCGTTATTTTAACGTTAATAACGTTAATTCAACGTTATTTTAACGTTGATAACGTTAATTCAACGTTGGCTTAAGGTTACACTTGGATGTTGTGCCCTCTATAAAGCAGGAGTTTACAATGCTGAAGACTAGAGGTCTGAGTGTGAACATCAACTAAACGAAGGTAACACGGAGATGTTATGGAGACGTGACATCAAAATGAGACATTCAAATATGATTCCCCAAGACGAAAATTAAGACAAAGAGGGACACAAGCTTAAACATATCAACACTCTATGTTACTCTATTAGCTGGAGTATTACCAATAACATAGATGAATCACGTGTACGTCTGTGGCCCGACGCATGAAGTGTTATTGAGCTTACAGAAACATGAACTTATGTAGAATATATAAAGCTATTACTAGTATGCAAAACTGAGGGAGAGAAAGGTCGAAAGAGACAAATACGAACAAAAATATGCACGTAAAATCAAGTCGACCGGTCAAGCTTGGCTCCAGCTGTATAGAGTAAATGACTGTATTGTAACGTCACATTAAAAAGTATATCACTATATATATTTAGTCATTAAATAAATTGGTCTGTAGGGTGAGGCTCTGAAAGAGCTAATGTGGGATAACAACTCTTTGCTTGTAGTTTCAAGTGGAACATTTGCACTATGTTAATGAACCTTAATTGTTAAAGAGCGAGAGATAGAGAGTGAGAAAAGGAGCAACAGGTGGCGCCGGATGCTGGGAGGGGAGGACATGGGAGAGGATGTAGTGTAGAGGGGAGGGTGAAGGTGGGATAATGGTGTGGGAGGGGGGATGGGGGGTCACGGTGACGAGCCATTGTGGAACTTCCAGTGTGTGTCCAACATCTGTAGAGGCCAGACGTACGTTCTAGCGACTCCCAGACACACGGTAATTATTGCTTCACCCCCCTGCCCATCCTTGCACTCCAGGAATATACACATAAACAGCACGATACTGTCAGCCTTGTGGGCACCTAAACACAGCAGGGACTGGTGCGTCAGGTGTGAGGACGAGGGAGAGTGTGGACTAGTGCGGACTGGCTGTGTGTGAGGGTCAGGAGGTGGTGAGTGTGGGGTGCACCAGGGCCTTGGACGATGTGTTCAGTTCCACTTATGTTCACGTTTCTAACGTCAAATATCTCGACATATAAGATTTTAACGTTGTCAACGGTGTGTGAATGTGTCTATGTTTCACGTAATTATGTTTGTCGAGGTTAAGCTTCAGCTCTTTGGCCCCGCTTCTCAACCTTTAATCGACGTGTGTTTTAAGGTTCCCGAGCCACTTTGCCTCAATCATTGGTTTCCAATTGTCCGGGACAGGATGCCCGTCAGATCTTACTGATGCCTCAATAGGTCAGCTACTGGCCTTCCCCAAGATGCAACTCACAACAAGTGACTAATTCTCTCGGGAACAAATTTATTACAGGTGAACAGGTGTGTCAGGTGATAGGAAAAATGTCCCAACGTCTCTTTCGTGTCTCGGGGATCCCGAGTTCGATTCCGGTGGAATAACAGAAATAGTTAGGCACGTTTCCCTCCACCTAATGCCTCTGATCACCTAGCAATAAATATGTACCCGGGAGTTAGGCAACTGTTGTTGGGTTGCATCCTGGGGAGGGTCCTTAGTGGGACCTCGATACTAGCCTAAAGCATGCACTATACACAGGCTTATTGTCCCGGACGAAATGAATTAGTGCATTCCACTTATTCATTCTGCTGCTGAAAGCATTATTTTGAATGTCTCCGTGGCTTATTTGGGTACTAAGTTTTCATTTTTGTTCCCTTGAATATTCCGTCAATTCCATATAATCTACCCTGTCTATTTCCCAGAAAAATTTGTGTGTTAATCATACTGCCTCTAACTTCTATCTTCCTGCTACGTTAGTAATAATGCCTCAAGTCTTTGATCGTAAAGACTTAGTTCTGGTACCAATTTAGTGGCAGACTTCTGAATTTTCTCCAACTTCGTTTTATGTTTATCTGGAAAAGTGATTCTTCACTGGTGATGCATATTCCAAAGCTGGATTCAGATATGCGGTATGGAAGGTCCTAAATTACTCTGTATTTAAGTTTGTGATGCTTAGGTTCTCATCTTTTCTACTTATTTACACAGGTACGTACAGCAACAAACGACTTCTCACTCCTTGTATTCTCTTGCCTTGTATACTGACTGGTTGACTGACTGGTTGATTGAATAGCTACTTGTTTGATTGTGTGGTTTCTAAATTTACTTGCTGGTTGCCTTGCAGACTTCCTGGTTAACTGGCTGGCTACTTGGCTGGTTAACTGGCTGGCTACCTGACTGGTTAACTGGCTGGCTTCCTGGCTGGTTAACTGGCTTGGTGGCTGGTTACCTGGCTTGGTGGCTGGCTGGCTACCTGGCTTGGTGGCTGGCTACCTGGCTTGGTGGCTGGCTACCTGGCTTGGTGGCTGGCTACCTGGCTTGGTGGCTGGCGTGCTTACTGGTTGACTAGCTGCCTTCCTTGGCTGACTGTCTGAGGTAAACAGTGAAGGAGATGTAGAGTCACTCTGAGTTGTCATGTTTGAACCACATTGTTGTGATCAGTGGCTGCCAATTTCTCTCCTTTTTTAACCTCTCTTCCTTTATTTTTCTTTATTTCCCTGCCTTCCTTTTCTTCCTTTGTCTTTAACTATTACTCCCTGCCTTTCTTCCTCATAATTTACAGTCAGGAAGTCTCTCCCTAACTGCCTCCATCACTTCCTGCTTTCCTCCATCTCCATTTGGTTTATCCCTCCTCTTCCCAAATTCTCTTCTCTTTCTCTGCCTTCCATTCCCTACCATGCCGTCCTGTTTTTTACTTTTTAATTTTCTGTCTTAAATTCCTTGTTGATAGATTTGATTTTGTAATTTCATGTCTGTTTTACACCTTTCCTTATGGTGTGTTTAGATGCCTTCAGAATCTGCCCATTTTCCCTTCATTTCTTCCTTGAATTCATTCATTCATTCCATCATTCTGCCTTGAAATGGGTGTTGCTGTCTTGTCTATATATTGAAAGCATTCAGCTCTTACAATGCATTCTGTTTGGTATTGGAGTATCCTGTCTGGGAAAATTTGCAGACGTCTTACTCTTGCAGTATGTGGTCAGCAGTAAGTTTTATTCTATATTGGTAAGACTCAAGTTTCTGTCAATTGCTTCCTTCAAAACTCTTTCCTCTTTCTTATAAGATATATAAGAGTTGTTCCCGCAATAGAGTTGTATATGTAGGACAGGTTCTGTTGAAGTGAATAACATAAACGTCTAGCTACGGTGTACGAAACACCTCTTCTCCTCTCATCACTCACGCATGGATAACATAATGCTGTATTGTTATTTCGTAACCACGAAATAAGTTACCACTTACGGGCTATTCATGCCCGTGCCACCTCTAAAGCTTAATCTTCATCAATCACCATCAATCTTTCGTAGTCACTCACTGCCTCTGGCGATGCTAATTGCCCAGTGAAATGCGTCAGGATCACTATTGGTGAAACATATAGAAATGTTCAAGCTCAAAGTGTACTCGTATAAATGAGTGAAATCTGTTTGATATTAATCCTGCGGCTGGCCAGACCACACACCGCCACCTCAAGCTTGTGTTAAATGCTGCCCATGATTGATTGATTGATAAAGATTAAGTCACCCAAAAGGTGGCGCGGGCATGAATAGCCCGTAAGTGGTGGCCCTTTTGAGCCATTACCAGTATCAATAGATGATACTGGAGATCTGTGGAGGTGCGACTGCACCCTGCGTGACGGGAGATGTCTACCGTGTGCTGCCCATGCATTTAGTGCGTGAGATATGTTCGTCGTGTGGGATGGCAGAGGCTGATCCAACCAATCAGAATTCTCTTGGCCAAGGAAACCGTTCGGACAAACAGCCATTTTCTCTTATAGTGTGTGGAATTTCATCCATCTGCCATGTGAAGTGGACAAACCTCTTTTTCTCAGTACAAATAAACGAAGGCGAGAGATGGCAGCTAACTACCATTCTCTCTTTTGTTTTAGACCTGCCCGGGCACCTGAAGTATATGCCCGGGCATCTGAAGTATATGCCCGGGCACCTGAAGTATATGCCCGGGCACCTGAAGTACATGCCCGGGCACCTGAAGTATATGCCTGGGCACCTGAAGTACCTGCCAGGGCACCTGAAGTACATGCCCGGGCACCTGAAGTATATGCCCGGGCACCTGAAGTACCTGCCAGGGCACCTGAAGTACATGCCCGGGCACCTGAAGTATATGCCCGGGCACCTGAAGTACCTGCCCGGGCACCTGAAGTACATGCCCGGGCACCTGAAGTATATGCCCGGGCACCTGAAGTACCTGCCAGGGCACCTGAAGTACATGCCCGGGCACCTGAAGTATATGCCTGGGCACCTGAAGTACCTGCCAGGGCACCTGAAGTACATGCCCGGGCACCTGAAGTATATGCCCGGGCACCTGAAGTACCTGCCAGGGCACCTGAAGTACCTGCCCGGGCACCTGAAGTACATGCCCGGGCACCTGAAGTAAAGTACATGCCCGGGCAGCTGAAGTACCCTGTAGCACCCTGTAGCATTTCGTCTCTAGCATAAATCACATAAACAGCAAACCACAGCAACATGGGAAGATCATTGTAATCTATGTGGTACGTCAGGCCCAGGAACGTCATCACCAGGCTCAAACGATCTAAAAGCACTGTGATTCAGAACATCATTTTGTATATCCCTGGTTATATTAATATGTATTTATTTATATATGTATATTTATTAAGAGTATATCTCTACTCAATTTCGTTTTATCCGCAATATTTTTTAATCTTTCATAAGAAGGAAAATTATGGAGCACCGCCGGAAGCTTATTGACGCATACTGGACGAGTTCCATTTACAAATCCCCCATCACCCCCCCTTTTCCCTTGTTTATGTCACTAATGGGCTTAAATAAACTAATTAAATAATAAAATCACTGCCTTATGTTACATGGGCACCACCATTCCTCCTCACATGGAACATATAACTAGATAATGGAACAAATTTAACGTGTTATAGTCCTCTGAGCAGTGGCCACGCAAACTCGTCTACTGCGCAGAGGTGTCGCGCAGTTCCAGTGTTGTGGTGGGCGGAGCATGGTGACCTTGGTCGGTACTGTGGTGTTCGTACACTTTGCGTCCCTCATATTACTGTGGTGTTCGTACACTTTCTGTCCCTCATATTACTGTGGTGTTCGTACACTTTCTGTCCCTCATATTACTGTGGTGTTCGTACACTTTGTGTCCCTTATATTACTGTGGTGTTCGTACACTTTGTGTCCCTCATATTACTGTGTGTTCGTACACCTTGCGTCCCTCATATTACTGTGTGTTCGTACACCTTGCGTCCCTCATATTACTGTGTGTTCGTACACCTTGCGTCGCTCATATTACTGTGTGTTCGTACACCTTGCGTCCCTCATATTACTGTGGTGTTCGTACACTTTGCGTCCCTCATATTACTGTGGTGTTCGTACACCTTGTGTCCCTCATATTACTGTGGTGTTCGTACACTTTGCGTCCCTCATATTACTGTGGTGTTCGTACACCTTGTGTCCCTCATATTACTGTGGTGTTCGTACACTTTGCGTCCCTCATATTACTGTGTGTTCGTACACCTTGTGTCCCTCATATTACTGTGGTGTTCGTACACTTTGCGTCCCTCATATTACTGTGTTCTCAAAATATTTCTCTTCGCTCTACTCTTCAGTGTCTTTATATATCAACAAGCTTAGGTATATACAACAATGTGTTCTTACCCTATTTTATATGAACAATTATGAAGTATAGGTGAAGAGCTACCTTTGAGTTTTACCTGATTTTCCTGAGGGCCACTAACACTAGTGGCCTTGATGAGGACAGGAAGCCGGTGGCTTGTC